CACTGCTTCATCAACTGATTTGCCATCCTTACCTAGTAACCGTAAATAAGCACTTGATGATATTATTCAGAACAACTAATGAAAGCTTAGTAAAATGAATCATTGAACTAAGAAAACTCAACAACATGAGAATCAAATCATAATATGAACTGCTTGAAGGCACATATCTTGATTTAGTTCATTGAATACGTGATTATTTCTCATACAAGGGCGTATACCCTTTTTTTTTTATTAGAAATTTATATTCAAAAAAGAACTATAAACTAATTTACGAAATTCGAATAATGGACATTTGAATATTTTATCATTTTCAGCTTGATTGAAACAACTTCAATCATTTAAAAAGTGTTTAAAATTAATGACAAAAGTACAAATACTGTATTTCTAGAAAAGAGAAACAATTGAAATATACTTTGAAAAGAAGAGGTCCAGTAAGAGTTTCAATGTTCAATAAGTATGTTGTATTCAGCATTTCCGATTATTCCACCATTGATTCAATGGATAAATATAGTATATTATGACGTTATTTACACTAGAGATTTCATGTTGAACCCTAGTTTACAATGTGTGTTTCTTTTTTTATTTCGTATGTTAGATTATTCTGAACTAATATTGCTTATAGTGAACACTTACAAATATTTCCAGATGCTGAAGATGTAATCTTTAGTGAAAATTACACTTCAATATCCAGTACTCACAAGCAAAGATGGATGATGGCTAGTAGTGGAATCCATGATGCAAATGTCGTCCTATTTGAGACTCTTCAGCTAAATGTACCTGAATCCCACAGTTGATATTCACTCTAGGACTCAAACTCAGTACCATTCTCTTCAAACGTCACCATGTTATACAATTAACTAATAATTCCCTGTCAACAGATTTTAGTTTATATATTGACTTGAAAATAAAACACGATGTACGTATTTCCATATTCAAATGACTTGAATTTCTCCTAAGGCAAGTGACTTCTAAATATAAATTGATGTCAATTGTAGTTTTGAAATTTTCATAGTTTTCAAAGAAATTTCGAAACCTTGAATGTATATTTAGTTTAAGAATGACAGTATTTTGTAATCAAATAACCGCATGTTTAAAAATAGAAAAAAACCCATAGAAGTTTATTGACATTTACATACTACTAAAGTTTGAGCAATTCAATGAAACTTAGATTCTTATACTCTGTATATTTCAATCAATCGGTGAATTGCTTAATTTCTATATGGAAATCACTTATTTTGAATCATTTTTATGAGGTTTAAAGTTATGTACTAGCATTAAAAGATAGTTTAAAGATAAACCAATTACACTGGTTGAAATCATGAGTCAATTGAAGCCAGACCATCATGGAAAACCTGGATGAGCACTGCTGAGGAGTCCCGTACCAGGACGAAACGGCCGTCCAGTGCTTTCAGGTTTTCCATGGTGGTCTAACTTCAATTGACTCATGATTTCAACCAGTGGAATTTCAAAAAATCTCCACAAAACCCATTCTGATAAACCAATTAGTTATACAGTTGACTGATCACAGTATAATGAACGAGGTTATATTTGCTCATTCTTTTAGTAGTTATGAAATGCTATTGATTAAAATCCAATCTGGTCAATAGTTTAGGTAACTCGACATCATTTATACTAAGCGACATGTTAAGTTGCTCACGTTCAACTTGCACGTTTTGTTTTCTTTGGGGCTCATCAGCTGAATGTGCTTAGATCCGAGGTTTAGTGTCTATTTCACAATTCAAACACAGTACCGTTTGCCTCAAATGTAATTACATTATACACTTACTGATTTCAAATAACCAGAAAGAAATTGAGTTTGAAGTGAACGGTACTGAATTCCACTTCTAGTCATCGTCAACCTCTGTCTATTATGTTTGTATTACAATGTAAGATGAAGACTGATTTTCTTTTATCGACTAATAGTTAACACTAACTAGGACAAGTTATCAAAGTCAAAATTATTCAAGGTATCAAGAAAATCAATCAGTTGTTCATACATAATCATTGAACACATCAAACACATTAATATTATCAGAAGGGGTTTTCTGGAGATTGTAGTAATTTCAATAGTTGAAATCATGAGTCAATTGAAGCTAGACCACCATGGAAAACCTGGGAAACACTGAACGGTAGTTTCGTTCTATTGTGGGACTCCTCAGCAGTGTGCATCCACGATCCCGACCTCCGCAAGATTCGAACACAGGACCTATCAGTCTTACTCGCGAGCGCTTAACCATTAGACCACTAAGCCGGCTGGAATCCAATGGTGTTAATGTCTAACTTCAACCAATCGACGAAATTGAGCGACACATCCACAATTGTCATCAGTGAGTTACTATCTCACAACTGACCCGGTTGAACTCCACTGATCATGGCTTTTCACTAGAAATCCAGAAGTGTCTCTTGAAGTCAGTCACTAATGAACATATGATTATTATCAGAAGGGTTTTTTATGGAGATTTTAGTAATTTCAATAGTTGAAATCATTGAACAGATCAAGCATATTAACATTAATCAAATATTGACAATTAGGTGTTTATTATCAATTACCTAATATCTTACAATGATATTAGGCTTTTTCTTCATTAAAGCTAACTGTCTTTTCAATGTGTATTAGGGTAAATGGATAAGTATAAAGCTATAATGATCTTTTACCAGATATATAAAGTTTTCAATCAATCTATACTACTACTAATAATAATTTTAGCTTCATATTTTAACGTCATAGTGTTATTAACCTTGAGCAGTAAGTCATGTGATCAACTTACTTACATTTAAGTAACGAAGGGAAAAGGAGAATGTGTGTGTGTGTTAGAACAAATACAGATACTGATTGTAGAGAGTTAATATAAAAACATTTTGCAGGTGAATGCAATAAAAGGGAAGTAAAACTATTTACTTTATGACCAGTTGTTATGGTAACACACTTCATTTTGTTTTTATCTGTTTCTAGTTAAAGATTTTTATTCTACTTAAAGCTTCTAGAAATAATCTTATATATCAAATTGTGATATGGATTTATCTATTTATTTATTTATTTATTTATTTTGATGGAAATATAATAATATTATCGGGAAAGGATAAAATACTATCCACAAAACACCCCTCTTTGTTTATAATCATCATATGTTCACTAGTGACAGTCTCCAAGAGGTATTTCCTGGAGTTCTAGTGAGAAGCCACGACCAGTGGAGTTCAACCAGGTCAGTTTTGAGATATCAGCTCACTGATAACAATGGTGGACAGTGGCGCAACTTCATGGATTAGTTGAAGTTAGACATTAACACTGTTGTAAAAAATTAGATTTTCTGACACTGTTGGATGCCGGTTCAGTGGTCTAGGGGTGGATTCGAATCTCACCAGGTGGGATTGTGGATGTGCACTAGTAAGGAATCCCATACTAAGACGAAACGGCTCTCCAGTGCTTCCAGGTTTTCCATGATGGTCTAGCTTCAGATGACTCGTGAATTCAATCATTAAATTACTATAATATCCACAAAACCCCTCTTTGATTAAAATACTATCTTGTTATAATATTAAACCATATATTGTCGAGAATTATTATGATTATAGAAGTATAGCGGGGTCGTTTATTTACTAATAACTGAGAGATAATGAATTGAATAAGTGTTTAGCGTAACAAATGTAATGTTAATACATTTTGACAGTAATATTATCTGAGGGTTAAGGAATCTCTGTGTGACTAGCAAATCCTGGATTATATCCTCTATGAAGAGTCATGGATGAGAACTGCCTGGGACGAAACACCGGTCCCATGTTTTCTGGTGATTAATGGTTGTTTAATTAAGGTCTGCTTGTAAGGAAAATAAGGAAATTAAACACTCTTCACAAACCCTCCATTCTATTATTAAAGTCAATTTTTTAAGATGTATTTCCTGGAGTTCTAGTGAAAAGCCATCAACAAAGAAATTCAGTACCGTAAATCGATTAAAGTTAGAAATGTATGTTATTGATTAAGCCTTCACCAAAAGATTTGAAGATGCTACATTTGATCTTCAGTCAGTTGGTAAATGTACACCACTGAGAAACCGTATATTAAGACGAAACAGCTGTTAGATACTATCTAACTATTAATGGTACTCAAACTGAAACATATCTATGATGTATTCAATTTACAAATGAAAGTGAATGGTATTAGAAACTACCTCAACTATATTTAATTACTTTGATTTTCATTAGTGTTCGTGACCGACAATTATAAGTGAATATTTTGGTCCATTACATACTTATCTGGTTATTCAGACTAAACCAACTGTCTTATATCGATCATGATTTATATATAGATATACTGTTCGGTTTAACACTTATTACTAACAGTTTTACTAGATGGTGGTTGGAGGTAGTCGACAGCAAACCCTGGACCCAGGTTTCGTGCTACTTGGCACTCGTCAGCAACGCGTACCTATAATCTTGAGGGAACTGGTGCTCACTGGCGGATTCGATCTCGTGTCACTCAGCTTCACAGTCAGAGACGTTACCACTGAGCTATCCGAGCCCCGACCGACCTCCTGTAGGACTGAGATGTAATCACAATTGATTGACCACTGGGTGGCGATCAATGTCATGCATGTCTAGTCCTTATTAGTGCAGATCGAATGCTATCGATCATGTTGCAATGTGGCCAACAGTCTAGGTGACTCGACACTGCGGGCACTATGTATTGAGATTTAGATGGTGGTTGAAGGTAGTCGACAGGAAACTCTGAACCCGGGTTTCGTGCTACTTGTCATGTTGCAATGATCGATAACATTCGATCTGCAATAATAAGGATTAGACACGCATGACATTGATCGCCACCCAGTGATCAATCAATTGTGATAACAGTTTTACTACATTCAGATGAATGATTCCTATATTTGTTCGTAATATATTTCAATCATGTTATCAGTTAAATTAGTTTCTTCATAGAACTTCAAATTAAAAAGAAGTACATTAATTATCTTTCCATTTTCTTTGCTTCTCTTTCTTTTTTCTTTTTTGAAAGAGGTGGAGGTCTCTTGAACTTCTCTCTCAACAGAACTGTCCTTAAATTGAAATATTTCAATGTTTATATTCTCTATGTATATAGTTTTGAGGCAAATTAGTTAATCATCAATTCATTGAATATAAACACTGAAAATGATTATCTCTATTCGTATGTAACGCTTAAAGTAAGCATTAACTATAAACTGAATAAACAAAAAAACAAACAGAGATAGGCGTAACTAGAAAGTGAAAAAGATAACTTCTTTTCATAATTTCTTCATTGTTTCACTATATTTTTTAATCAGTTAGTGAAATAAATTAGAGAGAAATAAATCGATTGTCATAAAATCCAATATAAAAGTACAGAAGAAGGGGGATAAAACTTGAGGTGAAAAATATTTTTTAATGGTTGAGATCATGAGTTCATTGAAGCTAGAACATCATGAAAAACCTGAAAGCACTAAATGAACGTTTCGATTTCGTGGATTACTTGAAGTTAGACATTAACACCTTTACATGCCAGTTCAGTGATCCAGAGGTTAGGCGTTCGCTTGCAAGATCGATAGGTTTCGAATCGATAAGATTCGAATCTTGCGAGGTAGGATCATGAATGTGCACCGCTAAGGAGTCCCACAGTAGGACGAAACGACCGTCCAGTGCTTCAAGGTTTTCCATGGTGGTCTAGTTTCAATTGACTCATGATTTCAACTATTGAAATTACTACAATCTCCACAAAACTCCTTCTGATAAAGAAAAATTGATTAAGTAACGATTGAATACAGTTATGATATTTTGATAATGAAATAAATAAATGTTGGTAGAGGTTTACTCTCTGATCTGGATAGTTTGGCCGTCAAACTTTCATCGTTCTTCTGAATGACATCTATCAGCACGAAATTTAGGTGAATAGAGAAATACTTCTACAGATGTTTTGTTTAAATTTGTTGATTTATCAACGGTCCAATTGTGAAGGTTAGACATTTAGTGTCTATATTAGGGGGGAACACTAAGTTTTTTTAAGATCTATGATACATAACGTATGTTTACTTTCAATGGAGTGTATGATTCACGTGAGGAAGCTATGAAAGCTTCGATATAGTGAAGCTCAGAGAGGTTATTCATTCTTAAATTGAGTCATGTTGATCATTATGTTAAAAGTTTGTAATCTTTCACTGTTGATTTTTGAAACCTCAGTTGATCAGTCTCCATTTCCATATGGGCATCCTGAACTGATAGCGTCGATACGAAGTTATGTCACAAATGTTTTAGTATATTTGGTATGCAACTAACAGTAGAATAGAGGACATGAGTTTTATCATGCTTGAGACTTGTCAATTGAGTGTACCTGTACTCCGATGTTGATGTTCATATTGAGACACGAACCAAATATCTTTTGATCAAAACCTCTAACGCATTATCTTATCCATGGAGCCAATGAGCTCGAATAGCCATAAACTTATTGAACGAGTATGAAGTTATTGATGTATATAGATGTAAAGGTTTGAGTTCTATCGTTGTTAATATAAAATACTGCATTTGTTAGCCTCTGTTGCCATATATGCACCCTGAACGGATTAACTCAATACTGCCGGTTAGATTCTCATTATGAACATCAATACTAAGATCCAGGTATATATAAGTGACGAGTCCCAAATGGAACGAAACGCATGTCCTGGATTAAAACGATAGTCAAAATTCAACCTTGATGAAATCTGTATTTAAAAGAAATATTCAGATAGTTCATGCTCAGAGGGTGTACATCTGACAATAAAGGCTGGTTAGTTCTAATCTTTAATATCAACTACAGACAAACTCAAACCCTTACACATACGTCTAAAATTTGATCTAACTGTTGGCAAACAATTCAATCCTACTTAATGACTCCGGTCTAAACCAGAAGAAAATTCGATAATAAGTGAATTAATTACAAACAAATTGAGAAAAAAAGTCAATATTGATTAAAATAATTATTGAGGTGTTAAACGTTTCTGTAATAAACATGCACACCCTTCTCATACTAATAAAGGATAAACTATGCAAAATCATTATGAAAAAGAAAGAACCGGTATCTTAAGTGTTTTGAGAATCATGAGAGAAAAAACGAGATAACAATATATATATTTCTAGGTCACCCACATAAATACATCACGCGCATACCTACCTGACTGTGAATTCATCGATGAGGGTACCCGCATTTTTCCACTTAAATTTAACAGTTTATTTGTTGAATTATGATTGCCTGTTCTTGATTCACCATCATTATTGTAACCATTAGTTGGTGTAGCTTTAACTGCTGAGGAAAACGAAATTGAAGCTGGAGATTTTAATGATGATGATATTGTTGTTGTGGTGGTGGTGATGGTGGTAACTGGGACAAACAATGAAGAAGGCTTTGATTTATTTGTCAGATTATCATCAACAGAGTGATTGTTAGCATAGTAGTTTGAATTATTTGACGATATAGAAGTATACGATTGTATTAAAGATTTAACAACTGAATTGGATGATGGTGAGGATGATGTTAGTGTCTGAGTCGTCGAAATCGGCGTCGTTGCGGTCATTGTTGTCTTTATCGTAGAAGATGTTGGAATGGAAGAAAATGCATCAGTTGTCTTTATTTCTGAACTGTCTATAAAGTTTATCGATGATAACGAAGACGATGTTACTGTATTATTAGTTTCATTACTTCTACTGTACAAATGAAGACGACTGGATGGTGCTAACGAGGATTGTGATAGACAAGTAGGAGTCACCGCTTTTTTACTCATAAAGGCTAGAGATACCGATGGTGATGATGATACTGATGAAGAAGGTGAAGAAATAGTTGATGGAGTTACCATTGAAGATGATTCATTTGGTGTTGTATATGGAGTAACTGCTGGTGATGTTGTAGTTATCGTTGATGTTGGTGATGATGACGATAATGTTAACGATCCTAATGAAGACTGTGCTCTTATATGCTTAGAATTAAGTTTTACTAAATTATCAAGAGTATCTGTAGAAAACTGTGTATCATTAGTGCTAATTGGTGTCTCAATGTTTGCAGAATTGTGTAAATCTTTTTGTTTGTGACTACGTGCCGGTAATGGAAGTACATTAATTGCTCCTGCTAAACGTGAACCACGACGTGGTGGACGTGGTAGATTATCATAAAGATTTGATGATATATTCACTGATTCTTGATCATTCTTAGGCTAAAAAAAAGAAAAGAAATAAAATGTAAAAACAATATAATCATTTCGAAAAACAGGATCTTTACAAATGTATCCACTAATACAATAGACTCAACTCATTTGAATGAATCGATACACAAATATTAAAGTACACCAAAAACTATTAAAATATTGATTTATAAGGGTTTTTATTTTCTTGGTATTGATGTCAATATTTGGAAGAGATCTGGTTCCATTAGGATATGTGCATTCTGAAGTTGAACAATGGTTGGTAGTGGTATCCAGGATGCCATTTTTGTTCAGTTTCGCACTCATCACATGGACACGCTGAAAGCAAGAGGTACCAGGTTCGAATCTCTTTGTGAATATCAGCACTGGTAATCAATTACATTCAGTTTAAGTCCCAAATAGGAAAAAATGGGGGGAAATATTATTTTCTGTCAGATATTTGGAGTTGAAAATCTGAATCCAAATGTATGATATGTATTTTCTGCTTACAACTAGTAATAAAAACCTATGGCAAAATAACCTCATCCAGTCAGTTTGCTCAGGATGATGTGCATATATGTTAGTAAAGACTGATCGAAATTCACTCCTCAATATCAATAACAAAATCATTCAAACCCTTGCCAATCACAGCGTATAATTATAGTTGTGATAATTAACACCGAATCATTTCGTCACAATTCGATGCTCATTTAAGTGTTCTTATACATAAAATAATGACTGGACAAATTCACTTGGTGTTGTTTTACTTGTCCTAAATAACAATGGGAAAATACAAGTAAAACAACACCAAATGAATTTAAACTTCACCCCATTGTACATACAGGTGGCTATCAGGAATCAGTATCTTAATGGAGAACGCGATGGCGTTTGAAACGAACAGTACTGGGTTCGAGTCACGGAGTGAATATCAACTCTGGAATGTAAGTACATCTAACTGACGCGCTTTCTGGATTCCACTGCTATTCACTATTCATTTTTACTTATAATGGCTAGACAGTTTAGAGATCGAAGAAACAATGATAAATCCGAAGTTATAAGTACCTATTACTTGTAGGGTGACTACTTGATCTGCTATAAGTAGTCGATATACTGAATTTTCATACAAACGATCAAAATTTATATACCTTCAACCAAAACTCATTTTGTCTTAAAACTAATAAGACGATAATCAATTCCGAACAGACAAAATATCATAAAAACAAGTGAACCATTTTTTGCATTCATTACTTATGAGTCACATAATCGGTGTTCAATAAAAATATGTTCAAACAAATTAAATAGTTAACAGGCATGTTTTTCGTGTAGTTAACATTCAAAAAGAAAGTAATAACCAATTTTAGCATATAGATATTTGTGGATATTGTAGAATTTTCATAGTTTATATCATGGACTGGTTTCGCTTACAACACCGTTGGAACCTAGAAGCACTGAAAGACCGTGTCATCTTAGTGAATGTGACTCAGCAGGACTCGCCTACAACGTTGTACCTGGGAATCGAACCCAGGACCTATGGTTTAGACTATGAAAATTCTACAGTCACCCCAAATCTCCTATTACTAATAATAATAATAATTCACTCTCTAGTAACTAGCGTCAAGTTCTAGTGAGAAACTGTGACCTGTGGGTGTTGGGTGTCCATATCAGATGTGAGGTAGTTATCTACCACAACCAAAGGAATTTGGTTGCACAATATCGTGAATTGATTGGAGTTAGGCAATAGCACCAGTGGATTCCGGGTCAGTGGTCTAGAGGTTAAGTGATCGTGAGGGAGACCGAAGTTCCTGTGGTCGTGCACGTGCACTTCCGAGGAATCCCATACCATACAAGTACATCCAGGTTTGGTGAATATTGCTGACATGTAGACAGAGACTAGTGAAGAATGACACCGATACTATTGAATGGGTCACATTTTTGATAATTAAAGGTTGTTTTGCTTTTAATCCATTTTGAACGAGTGAAATTATGACCGGTTTATAAACTAGCTTTTAGATATTCAAATGAAGTTTGTATCATGACAAAAATAAGATCAAAAGATTAGAGAGCAAATGCTGTTACAGCCATAAAGAAATAAATTGGTAGCTGGGATGAAAAAAACCCAGAAAGATCCCTTAATTATCGAAAAATTACTAAAAAAACAGAAAGTGACTTCGGATAGCGCATTTATTTAATTATTAGTGTGGGACAGATTGTTGAAATGTATAGTTTACATCAATAACTGGCCTTCGTAACATATGAGCCTTATACGCTAGGAAACACTGGATAGTTGTTTCGTTCTAGTATAGGGCTGCTATGTGGTAAGCGTCCATATGCTAATTATTCACTAGTTTTTAGAGATAGTTTTGACGTTTTAATGAGAAGCTGTGGCTGATGGAGTGAGACAGATACTCAATAATCACAATGAATGAGAGTCCACTAACAGAGAATTAGTTCAGGTTAGAGAACTTAGAAATCGCATACTAACACAATGGTCTGAAGGTGGGACCGTACATGTAAACTACTGAAGAGTTGTATACTAAGAAGAAACAGCTGTCCACTGCTTCCATGATATAAACCATAATATTGATTTATTAATTAAACACTTACAGTTTTCTAAAATAAGGAGTTTACAGTATAGACCAAAGTCCCTTTATTTCCGAAGGTCAAAGGTCCAAGTTCTAATATCATCAGTTGGATACTTCCACATACTCAATAAAATCCTTATCTCAACTAATATGTATGTTGGAGTTGGTTAGAGCTAGACCATCATGAAATATCTAGAGTACTGGACGGCCGTTTCCTTCTACTATGGGACTCCTCAGCAGTGCGCATTGACGATCTCGCCTCGCGGGATTCAAACACAGGACCTGTTGGTCTCGCATGCGAACGCTTAAACTCTGTATCACTGAGCCGGTATCCAACGGTGCTAACGTCTAACTTAAACCAACCCATGAAATTGCACCACCGTCTACTATTGTCTTCAGTGAGTTACTGCCTCAAAGCAGACGCGGTTGAACTCCACTGGTCACTGTTTCTCACCAGAACTCCAGGAAATCCGTCTTGATGCCAGTAACTGTTGAGCACATGATAATTATTATCAGAAAAGGGGCTGTTGTATTCTGAAGGCATCACTGTACGATCATTCGGTTACCAATATTACGGTGCTTTTATTCAGGCATCATCAATAACGCTTTCAAAAAAGGATTCTTGTTGAAAGTTATACACTTTAAAGACGCATTAATTAAGAATATGCAAAAACTAGAAAATAATTGTTACAAGAGGACAAATGTAACTGACAAAATCTAACATATTCAATTTCATCTGAAACTGACTAAAAATAGGGAGCAAATATCTGGTAATAGTATTAGTAGTAGTGTGCCTGAGAAAATCGTTAACATCAAACGGAATTCATATTACGCACTACACTGCAATGTTGTGCATGGAGGACTGCTCACAGATGCATTCCAAGTGAAGACTGGTGTCAGACAAGGCTGCCTACTCTCTTTCTCGTTCTTCTGGAGATCGATTGGATTATGAAGATTTCCACATCTAAGGGGAATCACGGAATGCAATGGACTACTTGGATGCGACTAGACAATTTGGACTAAACAGATGACCTAGCTCCCCTATCCTATACACAGCAACAAGTGCAGGTAAAGACAGCCAGTGTGGCACCAGCCTCTGCGGCAGTACGCCTCGATATTCACAAAGAAAAAGGCAAGATCCTCAAATACAACACGGAGAAAACCAACCAAATCACACTTGATAGAGAAGCTCTGGAACAGGTGGAAACGTCCACTTACTTTGGCAGTGTCGTTTATAAACAGGGAGAATCTGAAATTTTGAAGGCACGAATCAGCAAAGCAAGAGCAGAATTACTACAGATGAAGAACATATGGAACTCAAAACGACTGTCAACCAATATTAAAGTCAGAATCTTCAATACGAACGTCAGGACAGTTCTACTATACAGAGATGAAACTTGGAGGACTATTACAACCATCATAAAAAAATACAGGTATTTCTAGACAATTGTCTACGCAAGATACTTAATGTCCGTTGACGGGATACCATCAGAAGCATCCTTCTGTGGAATAGAACAAGCCAGCTTTTAGCTGAAGAGGAAATTAGGAAAAGACAATGGAAGTCGATAGGATATTCTTTACGGAAACCATCGTACCGCATTACAAAGCAAGAGCTAACTTGGAATCCTGAAGGCAAAAGGAAATGAAGAAGACCAAAATACAAATTGCATCGGGAATTGGAGGTAGACATCAAAAGAATGACCAGAAGTTGAAAACAACTGAAAAGGACAGCCCAGGGCAGAGTTCGTTGGAGAATCCTTGTCGGCGGCCTATGCTCCCACGAAAAGTAAAAGGGGTATGTAAATATGTAAGATAAGTTGTGTTGGGGATGGAATATTACGGATGTGAATTCAACTGTGAAAAATTCAAAGTTCCCGACCAGAGGAACTCTAAGCATGATACAGTATGTTTAGAAGCAAGGCACTCAGAACAATCAATAATTAGTAGATATATTGCTAGAGACCTAACTTATACAGCCAATATGAAGAAGGTCAATTAGTCACATAGTCAGAGGTAGATTGAATAAGACAGTTAACTTGAATACAATGACAAATAAAAGCAACAGAATTCAGTAAAATAACTATTCACAAAGTCATCAAGACGAACCAATTGACCGCTTATGGAATAACTATGGAGATAAACTCTATATGAAGTAAAAGTCGATAATATTATCCAGAATGACAACAAAAGCTTTATGATTAGATCATATAACTTAGAGAATCCGGTAAAATCAAAAACTTAAATGTTATTTACTCCAGTGTTTAGATAAACGCAAAAATGAATTTACAGATTAAAAAAGTAACGTTCAAAGGAGTAACGAACACCAACTTACTACTGCTGCTTTACACAAAGTCGCTTTAAATACTTCATTTTTATCATTGGTATTTGATGGAATTACCTGTGAATCGACATCATCCGATGATTCCGGAGTGGCTTTCGGAGGAAAAGACTCTGATAGACCACTGCTTCCATTATTATTATTGCTTCTATTACCACCATTAATAGAATTTGAACTAGATCGTAGCATCGCAGATTCACTTGGTAATTTTGTACGCTTAGATCTTGCACGTGGTAATGTTCCATGAATACTACTATCTAATTGATCATTATCCAAATTATCATTTGTATTAACTAATGATTCGCCTACTTTGGTATGATGATTAATATTATTAGGAAGAGTGCCACTATCATTATTATTAGTAGTAGTATTGTTATTGGCATGTAACTCTAAATTACTCAATGTTAATTGACTACGTTTAGTACGTTGTTTCGCTTCCAATGCTAATTGTCGTATTTGTGTAACTAAAACATCAACTGGTTGACCATTTGGTGGACTACATCTAAAGAAGAATTTGCCATCACCAGTGGAACATCTTCGACCAGCATCAACACGTAATACACCATTGGATGCACCAAATCTATAAATGTATAAAAAATTTGTTATTGTTAAGTATGAATGGTTTATCAAAGCAAATAGGACTTTTGGAAACCATTCTACTGGAAATTATTATATTACTATTATTTCATTATTGTGTACTATATATATATATATATATATATATATATATATATATATATATATATAGAGAGAGAGAGAGAGAGTCAAAAAGGGACTCTATCAAAGCGGGCAAAATAAAAAAGTCTTGAATTCAAAACATTTATCCAGACTAGTCACAGTCAGTACTAGCGAAAAGAATTGAGGAAATTCGTATATGAGTAGTAATGATGGTTTTCTATGCTTTCATGTAACATTCCCAAAGATTAAAAGTTCTTTCAAGCTAGAAAAGAATTTCTAGGATCTGAAGCTACTAAGGAGAATTAATCGTCAAATGATTATTATTAAAATCATTTCAATAGTACGTTAGATCAGCTAATCAAACTTAAGAGAATAAACTATAAGGAACTGGAACATACAATCAATTATGATTGACCCATATGTTTAACTACATAGAATGAAGTTAATACTTATTCTAGGAGAAGAAATTCTATGCATTAAACAGATTATGACACAATCACTATTGAATTTAGTGGTTCATTCTAGTGGAAAATTATTATACCTTACGTTATGAGTAATGAGGTGCCAATATTTCAACATTAAGTGGTTTTTCATTTATTTCAGGACTTGGTCATAGAGAACCTTAAACCAAACTCCTACCATTTGCTTAGTGTATATCAAGTTAACAATAAAATTCGAGAATGGGGGTTCGTGGAGATTTTAGTAACTTTTAACAGTTGAATTGATGAGTCGATTTAAGCTGAAAGGACTGGACGGCCGTTTCGTCATTAAGTGTTCATTAGTGACTAGCTTCCTGGAGTTCTAGTGAGAAGCCGTGACTAATCGAGTCCAATCTGTATCACTTGAAGACAGTTATCCACCTCAAACAATTGATGAACGGTTGCACAAGATCATGGATCGATTGAATTTAGACATTAACACCGTTGGATGCCGACTCAATGGTCTAGAGGTTTAGCGTATACGTGCAAAACCGAAGGCTTTGAGCTCGGGTCCTATGTGCGGGGCCGTGATTGTGCACTACTGAGGAGTCTCACACTAGGGCGAAACGACCATACAATGCTTCCAGGTTTTTAATGGTGGTCTAGCTTAGATCGAATCATAAGTTCAACTATTAAATATGAAATTCTAAAGAAAAACCTTAATAAAACGCTTTATATTACTGAGAAAAATATATTTGAATGGAATCACTTCTCAACTTGAAAAAAGTAACATTAAAATATAAGCGTATCAAATCTATTGTGGAAAGGGGTATTCAAGAAGATGAAGTGTAACAAACACTTTGACCTTTGCCATTTACTTAAAATCTATCATATTCACGAAGTTATTACAGGACATGTTCTTCAATGTCAGATCTAATATATATATATGGAACTGAACAGTTCACAATACTTCACACGGTCACAGACGTTTCAAATTGGATATCTACTGACTGATAAGCCATTTTAAGACAAACTGTCAGACTATTCAGTCAAACATAAGCAGCAGAGAAAATGACACATCTACGCATCAATTTAGTGACCACATCATAAAAACCTAATAAAATGAAATTATTAGCGTAAATGTCAGAGTATTAGAATAAGTGGCAGTAACAATGGTTGAGAATATTATATACAGAAAATATGTTTCAAGAAGAAATAGTGAATTCGTGGGATAGTAAAATTTAGGTATCTTTAAATTTCGGGATCTAAAGGAAGACAAAAGGTAAATCAATCTGTGCCATTGTGATTAATTCTCAGCCATTTCACCCAAAGTCTACGACCATTATTACGGTAATTTCAAGAACCACAACTTGATAAACAGAACATACCAACACGATTCTGTCCAATAGTCAATGATTCGTTCACCGTGACATTCAAGCCTATATCACCCAGCTTCAAGACTGAGACATTACCATTGTGCTATTCAGGCCTTGATTGACTTTATGTAGGACTGTGTTATTTACGACTGATAGGTCATAAAGCAATAACCGATGTTATAATTGTCAAGTTCCTTATTGTTTATCAAATTCTGTCAATCAATTTTCAAAGTAATTTGTGAAGCTGGTTGACAATTGTTCGAACCGAACAGAAAGAATCAGTTTCATCAAAATTACAGTTATGCTTGGTTGACAATTGCCAAACAGCACTAAACCGAGGTCAGATTAAGTATCCTGCCAACTATCTTACATTTCAGCACTGTCCAAATGATATCAAGTCACTTATATTAACATTTGCATTGTCGTTTCAGTTCATTAGTAGCACTACAGTACTCAATAAACATAACATTAGTCATTAGCCAGTGATTAATCCATTGCAAACAATGGAACTTGTATAAAATTGAAAGAGAAGAAAAAATAGAAACGCTAATTAAATATGACGGTTGCAGCTTTCTTTATCACAGACGGACAGAAACAAACACACACACACACACACAAACATGATAAAGCATTAAACATATCCGAAATTCAAACTTTTCTTACATTTAAAAGTTCCAACAACAACAACAACAACAAAAAACGGGCAAACCAACAAATCAACAGAGAAACTTATTCACCAATTACGAACAAAAAGAGAAACTAAAGTGTACATTATTTTAATGCTTCATGTAACCGTTATATATGTATGTAAATAATTAACGTGTGCTAACTTATCAGATTTCAAGAAAACATTAGTATATACGCCCCCCCCCTCTGTATTGTACTATAACGCTTGGTAACTAATGACTTACATTCCGTACAAAGTTTATTATCATTGAACGAGTTAACACATTTTATTAATTTTGTGTAACTAAGTGATAAACTAAAATCAAGTACATTCATCTGTTTATATGGTGAATACAAAGTTGAAATTGGTTGTTATTTTGTTTACTACATGGTAGGTAATGCATAGATATTCATATATATATATATCAGTAGAAACTTCTTTCAGTCTATAAAGAACCAAATAAATAAATAAAACAAATGAGAGTGAAATACAGCATTATAGATAGAAATTTTTTTTGTTTTTGGTGTAGTTCAAAGACGTTAAACATGAATGATACTGTGATTATGGCTAAATAGATATCTTTATTGTTTATAAAATCTGTGATTTGTACAGTTTTAAGTCTGTAAACTGTTAAGAAAGTGAACGTAAACACGAGAGGAATTAGTTTTTCAGGAGAGGGGGGGAGTAAAAGAAAGAAACATTAGACTGTATATGAAAAAAATAAAAAAAAAGGAAACTTACACTAGACTATTAATGACTTCAATTTTGAATCATATGTCAAGTACTTTTTTTTTACTGGTAATGATGTGCCAAAAAAAACAATTGGAAACTGGATGTAAGTTTATTTCATATCATGAAGTGATTTTGCGAATCTGATGCTTATCTGATTGTTATAACTTGTGCCCTATGTCCTATTAATCTATAATGTAATCGACCGGACAAATGATGTATAGAAACAAGTACAAGCAGTCTCGAGTCCTTATCAGTCCAGCTTCTTGCCTAGCCTTGCTTGTTAAGTCCAGAACACCAATCTCAGCCACTGAGATATGAATCACTTATCCCAAACATACTGGGTTTATAAACCAACTAAAAATACCATATCGTACCATAAAATAGGAAACAACATTTGTACAAGATTTAGTCAAATGTGGCTGTGAATGTGGAAGACTATAATTAATAAACTGGGAATAACTTAAGAATAGTAAATCGTATAATAATAGTTCATAGGTCAAAATAAAGCTCATAATTAGAAGGACACGAGTATGAATAGTATAGTTACTTAACGATTTTACGATAAAAATATACGTCTAGCATTAGTCCACAAATGGATCCCAAAAGTTACCATTCATTATTCTCAGTTTTAGTGTTAACACTCAATATGGATTCACAGTGGAAATATATCTTCACAAATCACAATCATGTGTTTACTAGTGATTAATTTCAAGAGGTATTCCTTAGAGTTTTAGTGAGGAGCTATAACCAGTACAGTTCAATCATTCTCTAGGTGAGAGATTTACCCACTAATAGATCTGACTGATGGTTGGGTAACATCAAAAGTTGTTTAGAGTGAAAAACGTCAACCACTGTACGTCGAATTCATTGATTTATAGGTTAAACGTTTTTTGCAAGACTTGAAAGTCTGGAGTTTAATCTCCAGTGGAGAGGTCATGGACGCGTATTGATTAGTCCCATATTAAGATGAAACATCTATCCAGTTATTGACTTGACACTAAAACTTTATCAAATAAGTGGATATTGAAGTAATAGTAATATGTTTATTTTTCAGTAAAGTTATTAAGTGTAATTTACCAAATAAATGCCAAAGTCCTACAGGGGATTAGTCACAGACCGAATAGTTCAGAATTAACATCTCAAACCATTAATTTGGGTAATGTGGATTCGAATTCTGTGGAGGGAGGGAGTATCAGTTACATAAAAGTTTCAAGTACACCAATCTGAAAAGCGTCAACCAGTCTAAAATCTATGTTTAGGGTTTTCTGCTGACTCTCACCATAACTTTGGACACCAAAAACTAATCCACACAATGTTTAGTCCCTTCGACTAGTGTCTATATTGCAATTTGATCGATAGGATTTGGTCAGTACTAAGGGTATATACACAAATACGAAATCGGTTACTACTCAGTAATAAAAAAGTTAGTGGAATGTTGGTCTGAATTAAAACAAATATCTACCATTGTAAATTTTCTTCTAACAAGCCAATAATTCTAGACTCTAATTTGTCTAAAACTTTTTAAATACATTGATATGTTGACAGTGAAAGTAAATATGTTTGGCCACCGAAAGTGAAATGACAAACACAGATTACTAACTACTTCGTATTTAGTGATTTTCTTTCCATTATTGGATTCACTGAATGTAGACTGCTTGATATATTATATTCAATAAAGAATTGTCTACTCTATACTTTGGTTCTCTAT